AGAGTAACCTTATGAGATTACCACTTAATTTCTATGTAACAGTTTAGCACCATAATTAGTTCGACCGATTTTAACTTTCTTTTCTACTCTAAAAGCTTAAACATATTCTAACATGCTTACAGCCTCTGTGACTGAGAAGGCTAAACATTTAAATACACAGGTAAGTATTCAGATCTTTACATGAAAACATAAAAACATCTATAAACAGGTAGCTAAGCCTATTATCTTCAAACAGTTCCCATTACAGAAATACATACTATGTCATTCAGATTCTAACATCACAGAGAGCATGCCCTTTAATAAGGTATTCCCATGCCTCTAGCATAGGTGACTATGGGAGTGAGGCTGCCTTCTACTTCACAGATTCCTTTTGCCTTCCAGTAATCTATTCTGTAGGGTAAACAAATTGTGGGAATTATCTGGGGGGTGGGGGAGCAATAATTCCTACATTTAAATGTCACCAAAAGCATATCACTGACTCCCACTAACCAATCAGACATGAATTTCCTTTCTCCCCACACCCCTGTAATGGAAGTTGCAAAACAAGGTGAGGGCCGCTCAGTTTCTGTCTGCAGGGTATATAAGCCCAGGCAAACTGTGATCAGCTCACTGATGATTTAGAGCGATTGCTACCTTGGCTGAAGAGATTACATGACACACCTTTCTTAAACAAGTCATGTTCATTAGCTTCATACATATTTATTTCTTAAGCTGTATTAAATGCAACCTTACCTTAACAATACTTACACATAAATTATAGACCTATACTGATTTCTTCTATTCTTAACATGTATATCTGTGTTTATCTATCCATATGTAGACAGTTGATTTCCTGGAATATTCTGTAGTTTCCTGATTCAAATCCAGTTATTCTATTATTTACAAGACAATTTAACGTTGATCTGCACAGGAATCTGCACTGACCAAAAGTCCACTTATACTGATATTCTAAGTTACGTAATGTTTATAGCTATAGCACATACAGTTTCAGTCAACTCTGGGCTATTTATTATGTACTTACAGTATTTATATATAATGTCTGTCATTTGGAACAAGTCTAGGCTACTTTCGATATATGTTAAAATAATGACTGTGTAGTTATTATTCAGCAGTGTTGGGACTTGTGTCGAGTGACTCTCTCCGAAGTCCAATTCAAGTTGTGCCATTGACTCGACTTGGGAGCAATGAATGAGTGACTCCACTCAACTCAACTCACGATTTCTACACGTTTTACAATAGATATCCTGGGGTGATCTTTCGCAGAAGGCATCTGCAACAGGCTGGAAGGCAGACATGAACACAGCAGAAATGGTGGGAGGACAAGAGTTTCAAGGGGGCGGGGCAAGAAAGGGAGGAGGGCATGGCGATAGGGGGAAGGCAAGGCTTCAGTTCTTTCGGTCATGAGGAAGCAGTGGCAGGGAGCAAGATTCAAGGGGTGAGGGCAGGATAGGGAGGAGCGGTTGCGATGGGGAAAGGCAAGGCAAGGATTCAGTGCTACTTTTTGGCAGGAGTGAGGTGGTGGGAGGGAGGGACAAGAGGGCAAGGGCAGGGAGAGGGTGTTGCAATATAGTGGGGAGGTTCCGGCTCTTTTTGGTGCCCCTTGTCTTCCTTGGCAGGAAGCGCAACAGGAAGTGCTTCTCCCGCCTGCTGCCTCTGCCCAGTTCCACACACTGACAGGGAGGAACGAACAACTTAAATAAATCACTTGTGGGGGTGGGGGGTGCCTCCAAAAGTGGGGATGTCCTGCATACCCCGCTAGGGCACTGCATCACCTACAATCATCCAGAGATCACTGTTCTTCTCTTAAGTTGTTTCTTGAGACATGAACACATCACTGTTATACAGTATTTAAAAATCTATTAAAATGTCTAGATGGTTTGCCCTTAGGAAAGAATTGCTTCAGTCCTTTGACTAAGCATGTTTTGATACTTCTTAGTTGTTTAATTGTAGCTGCAGTTCCAGAATCTTAAGGGCCTTCAATCACTGAAGGAAAACAGATGATTCTAATCACATTAGTCTAAATGTTCAGAGAACCACCAACTTCCATTAACTTTAAAAAGAGAGCGAGACACAACACTTAAACTGTGAACTCCCCATCAGACCGTGCCCCCCCCATGTGCACATAGACAAGCAAGACACAGACACACACGCAAACACACAGAGAGATACACACACACGGCCTTCCTGAGCAGCATTTCTAATCCACTCTCTTAGGTGAAATCTGTAGACTGGAATACAAACAATTACAAAATTATGATTTCATTTTGCAGCCTTAAAATATCACTGAAATGACTCCTTATTCTCAAAAAGCCTCTGAAATGGGGAAACCTGTTCTTTCTATCTTTGGAGGCAGGGGGACAGCCAAAACTTTGGATTAACCTCTTTCTCTGGGATGGCAAGCAGGATCCAGTCAAGATGGATGTCTCCAGAGGGAGAGGGTATCCAGCACTTCCAAACTGGATTATAAAAGTCAAGGCAACTCTTCAACCCTTGTTTTCCAATGGGGGAGATAAAAAAAACTTATCTGCAATATGCAAACACTAATACTTAGAATATGGAAATGAATGGATTAACTGCAACATGTAGGATGGAGCAAAACCCAAGCAGCCTGCACCCCAGCGGGCAGGCAGGTGTAATTTTTGCCATTCAGAGAGGGCTCTGCCAGGCAGCCATTGCACAAGACTGCAGGTCTGCCCCTCTCACAACCACAATTGCTGGAATAGCTATCAAGTTTCTGTGCTGCCTGTCTTCTCTCAGCAACCTACTGAACTGGCATATGATTTGGATCACACCCAGATGCCAAAGACAAGCAAATGCCTCTATGTACTTCCAGATGCAAGCCTTTCTTGTTCCTTTACGCAAACTTTGAGCCCTTTCCCATCTGGGTGAAAAGCAAAAAACCCTCCCAGGCTGAGAGAAAAGGAAGAAAAAACAAAAATTGAGGCATCAAAAAGAACGAAGTATACTTGAAGCCATTCATGCAATTACCAATTACGTGGATGCCTTTTAAAAAGTAAACTGTAGGTATAGAGAATCCAGTCTGGACTGGGACACTAATGTGAAGATCACATGCTTTAAAAAGTATGTTTGCCTTCCACTGTAGTCCTACTTACAGTAGTTCATTGGAGCTTTGCCCCGCAATGACATTAGCAAACACAGGAGCCTTATTCCAGGCTGGGACTGCAGCACAAGCAACCCATGAAAGCTCCCCTATGCAAGAATTCCAGTCTGGATTGGAGGACCCACACCTGCTATTAGCCATGCACAGACAATAGCTAAATCCATGAATAGTGCCTCATCTAGCTTAGTCATATGCATCTTCCTAAGCAGGTGTGTGAAGAACAAAATCCAGGATGATATTAGACGGACAAGATGTCTTTTGATTACTATTGCAGTTTCTTCCATTCAATACTCTTGCTTTATACCTGAAGGAAATGTTTTTCTTTTTCTCCCCAGCTTTCAAAAAACTCAGTTCACCTCATCTCAGAATTTAAAAATTAATCAGAATTTACACAAACAATCACGTAACTGGAAGTTCCCTTTTGTCTCTCTATATATCCCATCTGCAATGGTTTTATGGCATTTCCACATTCTCCTAGCATGTTGTAATGTGGGCGGTGGGGGGGGGGGCTGTGCCACATAACCTTGCAAAATGGAATGAGTAACAGCTTGTTGTTAATTCGGACCAAATTCCCTTCCAAGATTATGTTTTTCCCACAGCAACTAGCAATTCACTTCCAAAAAGTTTGGCATGTAGTTATACAGGGTTGGAAAAAATTAATAAGCTGATCAAACTGTTAAAATATAATTCCATTAAATAAAAGGAAAAAAATCTCTATTTTTCTTTATATTTTATACATTATTTGCTTCTAGTGTTTTCACATCAACAACTATGAGAGATCAAACCACTCCCCAACATCCCTTTATTTGCTTTATTTGACAATCTCATCCCAGCCAGGGAATAGTTGCCTTCACTTATAAACACGCACATCTGCAATCTGTTCTCAGAATCACTGCCATGAGGCAACAGCTGTTCTGAGAAAATTCAAATTTCCCCCCTTTTTAATGTAAAATAATATATGTTTGGAATGTTGCTCAGCACTTTTGACATGAAACAGATCATATACTGAATAAACAGATATTCTACTATGCAGTTGAAATGCATTATATAAACTTTACTTTTCTGTGGGACTTCCATATTAATAAAATCACACAAATGCTAAGCCAAATGTTCATGTGTTTGTTTTTACAGATCAAACCTAAGCATTTGATAGAGTAAAACCTTTTGTCAAACATCTAGGCAAATGGCACGAAAATCTGAAGTGTTTCTCTGGTTTATGCTTATGTCTAGAATCTAATTCTGGAAGCTCCATAATGACCCCAGATACTAGTTTTTCAGGCTTCTGGGAATATGGTATAGCTTAGGAAATTTAGCAAAGCTCCATAGTACAGTCTATACATAGTAAAAGTAGGGTACAGTCTATATCCCATATAGGCCCTCATTTCAGTTCATTACAAACAGGCCTGCCTGATCCACCTCCAATCCTGCCTGAACTAACACAGAAAGCTTACACTTTAGTTCAGAGACAAATCTAGTAACTTAAAAATAGACTATTGAAGTCCTGACTATTGAAGTCCTGACCAAGGAAGCAATCAATTCAAAAATTCTTGAAGACCAAAGCATACCCATGTTCTTAGTAGGACAATGAAAAGTTGAACTCTCGCATCAATGTGCAACTGTTCTATGAAAAGGAGTTCAAGGTAGAATTTCAAGATCTCAACTCTCTAATAATTTTGCCTGAAGTAAAGCCAGGCAAGACCCAAATGGCTCTCCTATGGAAGAAGTACTTCAAATTCAAGATGTATTGCAATGCTTTGGCACCCAGCCAAAACATTGTTCTAACCAAATAATACAAATGCATAAATTGTTCGGAAAGTCAATTGTCTACCCATAAATGCCCATCCAACACTGAAGCAGTTTGATATAAAACATGTCTTACTCTAGAATTGAATTAGTGGCTGCCTGTGGATGGTAACGGTAGAGGAGGAGGCACTGGTCAACTCGGAAGACTCCTCCACCTTTTCGAAGATGTTCATAAAAGAACAGCAGGTCTTCTGGGATGCCCTGAAACAAACATGACTTGTTGAGATCAAGTTACTATATTAAGCTACTATATTCAGAGATTCTAAACACCTTTATAAGGCAACTCATACATAAAGCTGTCTATTGGATCTTTAGAGACATGTCTTACAGTGAACTTGAAAATGAAGAAAGGCTACATTAGATTATATACAGGACAAAAAGTGATTAAAAAACCTTCACACTTTTCCAATTTTCTATACACATTATCTTTAGCTTCTGAAAAGAGAAATCCAGAGACTAAAACTTCATAACATGGCATTTTTTTAAAGGTGGAACTTTATCATAGGTAGTTATATTGTATTTTAACTATGCCGCTAACTCTGTGAGCCAGCTTGAGACCTATTTGATACAGACAGATATAAATGTTTTAAATAAATAAAACTACTTTTATTGACATAGCCAAATGCATTAATCGATTTGATGTATCATAAAGCTGTTTCTTAAAAATAGCTTTTTGATCCTTTTGTTGCCATTCATGTAAGAATTAAAATTACTATAATGATCTTTATGATTTGCATTTTACCTGTATGCTTGAAAAGCCCAAATATATTTAGCTAGCCCTCACTGAATATTCATTCACTCACACTCACACACACTTATTCCTCTATCTTGTATGACTAGAGACAGAAAATTTTCTGGACAAATCAGAAAATGGAATTAATGCACCAAGCCAACTGAAAATATATAAGAAAGAATAATAACCATCATTCAAAGATATCATTTTTCAGCCAACCTGAAACTCACAGTTCCTCTCCTTAAACAAAGCACTGAACTCACAGCTGAGGATTAACTGAAATGGAATACAGTAAGATGAAAATAATAGTTGCGTGGACTTAACATGTCAAAGTTGGATTGCCTCCCTTAGACTTCAGGATCTAGCCAGGGTAAGAAAAAGGAGACTACACCAGTTCTCCTCATCTTTCCAAATGCTACAAAAGGGACGGGCATGAGAGAAGCAACAGCAGGACCAGTCTTGCTTCACCAGACCCATCCCTGCCCTTTGTTTCCCAGAATAGATAACCTGTTGTGATGGTTATAGAGAGAAGAAGGGACACCATTAGCGAACTCAAGAACAGTCACAGACAGGGTCTTTCCTCTCTCTTTTCAGGTGGCTCCCTTGCCATTTTAAACAACACACATCGAAGCAACTTTATTTCAGATGTCTTGACAAGCCAGGTAGAAAACAAGCCACAAACTCTCAAGGAGGCTTCTTGGGGGGGGGGACCCACAAAAGAGAAGCAGCACCAGGTTCTGATACCACACTAAGTAAACCTGCAACCACCCATGGAGACAACCCACCATGGCCTGTCATGACATGTGACCAGGTCACAGTGTCAACACTGACTGACAGGAGCTGTCAGGGACTCAGACCAACATCATCATCACCATTATCATTTCATACTCCCTCTTTTCACTGGAAGCACTAGGGACTGAATCTGAAATCTTCTGCATGCAAAACTTGTACTCTGTCAATAAGTTATGGACAGATTCTGTCACAGCTGCCCAATCTATGGCATTTTATGGTCCTTCAATCAATCAAAAAGCCAATTCTTAATGCCTGTCATGCTCCTGGCTACTTATTGTTGTTAGGTAGGAACACAAAAAAATAACTGATTTGGCTCTGTGCCACTTTTCCCACAAAGGGAAAGCTAAGTAAATCCTGGGCCTAAGGTGTCAAAGGAAGAACAACGAACAAAAAGGTGGTATCGCCTTAGAAAAAAGTACATTGGAGAAGCAACTTTTGTAATTCAGTCTCTTCTCAAATTTGCATCAGTGCCTACTGTTAGAAAACAATGTAAGTATGCATGTATTTGAGCATATTGTTCTGAAACCTGTTCTTCACTTTTAAGTTGGCCAGATTTTTACTTTCCTTGAACTTTGGCTGACATCACTGTTTTGGGGTGTGAGATTTAATGTCAATGGGTAGATCACATGATGCGCTCCAGTACTATTCTGATGTATATTAGGCCATGTAACTATTTCGAAATCCTCCTCTAAAATCCTGTCCCCTTATTTCATGTAGGGTGATGACTGAACAACATCTGTTTGAATTTAGCAACACTGCTGCCACTTGAGAATATAAAAACCCCATATAATTATCAAATGTTCTCAAAATATTTTTTTTGTTTTTCAGACCACTCTTCCTTCCAAAGTTGTAATGGATGGTGCTATGTAAATAAATAACTGATTTACACAGCAGGGGATCAAATGCTGTGGCATCATGTTGAAAATGAATCATGAGATAAAAACACATGCCAGGTGGCTAGAGAAATACATTTTCAGTGGGCAAGGTCATGTTTATTACATCAGGCTGCAGCAGGCTGATCTTGTTAAATGCTGAAGCCTCTACTCAAGCTTTCAATTCAGTGGTTACATAAAATGTTCAACATCAGTTTGGTTAAGGATAGTCACAACTTGAAGGTCGTAATTGCCTATATCCTCCAACAAGAGATTCCAGCACTATCAAACTTCATAACTAATCCAGATTACTATACCTGAACAGCTACAATTCTAAGAGCAGTGTGGCACAGTCATGTCAATTAGAGTATGATCCATTTTCACACTAAACTATATGGGGAAACCCAGATTTAAAAATTGATGAGAAAACTTTTTAGACAGGCTTAGACAGACAAACTGATTTCTTCTTAGGATCAGCTAGTAGATCCCAGTGATAATATTCTGCCATTCTCTGTTCTGCATGCTAAATATCATTTGTTAGCCATGGCTAAATGGCCGTATGTGCAACTTAAATATTAACTTGAATCAAGGTTTGCCTCAATGCTTTTACAACTTTAGAGTCCCCTCTGCTATTGGATGTTTTGATTAAGGCTGAATAGGTATTCTGGATCACAATTCAGGTTTACAGAGACTTATTATCAGTGAATAAAAATAATACAGAGAGTGGAACAATAAACGGGATTGTCCCATTTTGGCCAATTCACTTTTTTTCTCTCTTTTGGCATCTATCTCAGAACCTTAATGGATTTTAGCTTACATCTAGTTCAGCAAAAGCTTATGTGTTGGGTATACTAGATGCTCCAGCATCCTGTTTGCCTTTTTGCAATATGGGTTTTGCTAAATTGACTAACTATTGGAAGTATAAAAGCTTCTTTTATGCATTAGTTATGGGAATGCTTAATGGTCCCCTCTTTTGGGAGGAGGTAATAATATGGATAAACTTTGTGACAGTTGGTTTGTTAATATTTACTGGTGTGTACTTTCTTCTCCACTATTTGCCCTCTTTCTGGAATGTCAATGTAAATATCAATGTAAATGGTTTCTCTGTGACCTTTTGACAGCTAAAAGGCTAATATTACAATACTAGAAGCATAAATAGCCACTTTGATAATACAGTGGGTCAAGGACTTAATGTTTTCAATCTTGTAATGGGTGATCTTTAGGCATATTCTATGAATGGACAAATAAATAGAGATTTGGTCTGCCTTTTTTTGAAGTATATGCACAATTACACCCAAGAACAGTAGAACATATATAAAATGTGTACAGGTACACACTGCATATGCATGTACTGTAATGGATATCTTCAAATCTTATGTAAGAAAATTGTAATACTTTATCTTATTCTACAGTTTTTGTTTTTATTTTTTGTTTTGATATATTAAAATTCACCGTAAAATAATGAGGGAAAAGAAAATCCAGATGGCTTCCTCACTAACCATTTTTTAAAAATTAAACCCTAAGCAAGCCTTCTTGAAGCCTGACTTAGCATATTCCCTTTCTTCCTTCAGGTCTCAGATGGGTGTCATTGCCTCTTTCACATCCAACTAAAGAAATATCCATAGAGAGATTCCACTTTACTAATAAGACAACAAACCAGCCGAAATTACTCTATACTTTTACTGCTGTTTAATATATCTGTATTTACCATGGCTCCAGATTCTTAGTCTGTAAAGTTATTTTTTAATGAACACAGGTAGTTAACAAAAAAAAAAAAAAAAAAGAATAGGCTACTGATTCATTTCCTTTTTTATCAGAGTTTGGTAGTAGTGCCCAGCTAAAATTCCCCCTTGGAAAACCCCAGATGTAAAATTCAGGATTTACTGTGAGTCTTTACTATTGATTTTACCGATAGGTCTATGAAAATAGAGTGGATTTGGGTGGGGTGGTGGTGGAGAGGTATCATTTTCATACTACTAAATATTGGTTTTTTAGAAAATCAAATCTCAGAGCTAATGTTAATTGTAACATCAACAATATATGCAAATAGATGTCAAATGTTAGGATGCTTCCTAAAAACAGTTGAGTATTATATGTACAGATCTAACTGCATATACCGGATCATTACAAGATTTTGCAGTTATCCATTTACTGTCTCAATATTCCAAGATTGGGAAGATAGATTTTACTTAGGTTTCTCCATCTGTATTAATAGGATTATTAATATTAAATAAAGTAGCAGACAGTAATGGATCCATGCAGTTGGAGGGTGAAAGAAGACATAGCCAACCTACCTTCAAGCTCTATTTAGCCTTCTCCAGTGTTGCTCTGTGTCAATGGCAAATTTTCAACCTGTTTCTGTTCCTCAAGTCATGCTCTAAGCAGGTCAAAGTCAGCCACATGGTTCTAATTATCAAGTAGTCTGGTGCTGAGGGCATCACATGTCTATTAGTAGACTTCATTACATGTTACACACAGTGCTTACAAGGTTCCCCCACCCCTAATCAGAAAAAAATATTTTCATCAGGTTCCATATTTAGGAATATTATGGTTTAAATATTCAACAATTTATTTCACTAATGGATTGTAAAAGTGTCTGTATTATCACGCCAAAATGGATGCAGGGCTGTTTCACAAGAAAGAGAGATTTGAAGAGTAGGGTTGCTCAGGCCCAAAGTGGAGGAATGCCTGTGAACTGCTTGGCATAACAGAAAACTAAGTGTATGATACATCTACCAGTGCTAAGTGTGACCAGGGCAAATATTGATTTGGAAGAGAACAGGAAACCATTACACAGAGCTTAG